AGTCTAGTCCCAGGCTACTCAATCTCTCCTCATAAGCCAACCCTCTCAACTCCAGAATAACCTAGTGAACCTCCTCTGCACCCCCTCCAGTGCCAGTCAAGTATAGGAGCCCAAAACTGTACACAGTACCCAGGTCTGTCCTTACCAATTCCCTATACAGCTCCAGCATCACCTCCCTGTTCGTAAACTCCATCCCTCCAGCAAATGAAGGACAAATATTCGATTTGCCTTCGTAATCGCCCCCTCCTCAGATACAGAAACAGCCCGTCTCCAAACGCAACAAGATCTGGGCAATATCCAGGCTTCAGGCTGACAAGTGACATTCGCGCCACACAAATGCCAGGCTGTACCCATCTCCACCGAGAGAGAATCTAACCATCGTCCCCCACACCTTGATGTTCAATGGCGTGACCGTCACTGAAACCCCCCCACCCAACTATCAACATTCTGGGGGTTACCCATTGAGCAGAAACTGAACTGGGACCCAGCCCCATATCAATACAGCAGCTACAAGAGCAGGTCAGAGGCTGGGAATCCTGCAGCGAAAAACTCCCCCCCACCAAAGCCTGACCCACCATCGACAAGGCACAAGGCAGGAGGGGGAGGGAACACTCCCCACTTGCCCTGGAAGGGGATGGCTCCGACAGCACTCGAGAAGCTCGACACAGTCCAGGGCAAAGCAGCCCCCACCCCCATCAGAATCCTGGAACTCCCTCCCTAACGGAAGTGGGGTCACTGTGTCCCTACACCACATGGAGGTGGAGGGGGTGGGGAGAGACTGCAGCGGTTCAAGAAGGCAGCTCACCCCCCACCTTCTCAAGTGGGGGCAATTAGGGATGGAAGAGGAATGTTGGGCCCCGCCATTGATGTCCACGTCCTGGAGTTTCTTTTTAAAAATAACACTGCACAGTATTCCCAGTGAGCGGGAAATTTCAGCTAATCATATTTTAACAGTGATGTTTTGTGAAGTGTTGCGGAGCAGTGGGATTAGTTTGGGGATCGATACAGGGCTATGGGGAGAGAGCAGGGGCCAGTGGGATTAGTTTGGGGATGGATACAGGGCTATGGGGAGAGAGTGGGGCAGTGGGCTTAGTTTGGGAATCGATACAGGGCTATGGGGAGAGAGCGGGGCAGTGGGATTAGTTTGGGAATCGATACAGGGCTATGGGGAGACAGCGGGGCAGTGGGATTAGTTTGATGACGGATACAGGGCTATGGGGAGAGAATGGGGCAGTGGGTTTAGTCTGGGGATGGATACAGGGCTATGGGGAGAGAGTGGGGCAGTGGGATTAGTTTAGGGAGCGATACAGGGCTGTGGGGAGGGAGCGGGGCAGTGGGATTAGTTTGGGGAGCGATACAGGGCTGTGGGGAGGGAGCGGGGC